ACAAATTAAAGTCGTGCAATTGAATAATATTCTGATCACACACCCACTTGTCTTACTATATAGCATATATATGCCACACCACAATATCCTAATTAAAGTGAATTATGTTCTTTTCAATAGAATAGAGAGAAATATGTTTAATTATTCCTTCTAGTTGATCTTATTGATTATATATTTGGAAAAATTAATATGAATTAAATGGTACATATATACATATATTGTGCAAACACATGCATGGTGATATTATGACTATCCATGTGTTCGTTGCACAGATCTAGATCCGATATTGAACAGATTTCCATTTTTTTAAAAAAAGAAAGTCAGCCTCTCTTTGATACTTTAATTAATTCCATTACTTTACTAATTAATTTTAAGGCAGATTAGATGAAACATGCTAGCACGCCAACACGTTCTAATTATATATACAAAATAAAAGTAAACCAACACATGGATTTATGGGTTTCATTTATTGGGACAAAAAAACTTGATTATTCTTGAGTGAGCGATTTAATTTGCTGGTCCTCCTTTAGAATGTATTTCTGGTGATTGCATAGATGTGTCTATCCCTTCATTATTACTCTTCAATCAATCATTTTGCAAGTGATTGGTCTCATATATAGAATCGTATCGTGAGTAACACGTAACCAAAGTTCGATGATCAATGTAATGCTTTTTACATTTGAATTGATAATAATTGATCAAGAAATTATATTTTCATGTACCAGTGTTAGTGATTTGTGGCTGATGGACGGATGAGCTGGAGATTTTTGATTCAACAAGAAGGACAAGATCACATGGCGGTGACCATAAAGTAGCCGTTTGGTTTAGCAGGGAAAGGCGAAACAATTTTGTTTAAGTTATACAAGAGATTGTGAAACTCATTTGTATTGTTTGAATAATTTTTTGAAAATTAACTCCGATCAATTTTGATTTGAATTCTTTATTATATGTTGAGTAGAAACTATTAGGAGATACATTTGCGTTCAAAAAATCACGATTGGGTTTTTATTAAATTATGTTTGATGATAAAAATTATAGAAAATTAAACAACAACATAAAAATTATATTTTTTTTAAGCAATTATATATCCAAGTGTAATTTTGATTAACAATCCAAACAGTGTCAACTTTCTCATAATCACTTATAAAAGAAGTATCCAAACAGAAGTTATAAATTATTAACAGAACTTTTGATTAATGTTACTTTTAAAAGTCATAACTATTTATAATTTCGTTCGTTCAACTCCAATCTAAATAGAGAAAAAAAAAAGAGAGCGACAAACTAAATTAATGAAATGACAATGTCAAAAAAAAAATCCGAAAAGACAAAATTTGTGGCATTAAAATATTGTGAGTGCGAGAAACGAGCTACAATAATTATAAAAAAAAATGATAATATGGTAATTACGAAAAAGCACTGAAGGTTGCGTTGTGGGGAGGGGGGTGGAGAGTGAACGCGAACGACCGCATGTGCAATAGGAAGACATGTCGTTTGGTGGAAAATTTGCGGTTCGGTGAGGGCCGTTTGCGGGACGCAGTGTCGGTAGGGAGCCGCCGGGCCCACCAGATCAGAAGGAAGCCAACCTCTATCCTATCCTCATGGGAATTCCATACAAGTTGCAGCGTTGTACGATACTCCGGAGACATCTTCGTTAATCGCTTCACACATTACCCTTGTCACATGTTCAGTGTCACCCAATACTTTTCATACAACTATATGCCACGTTGGTTTGGTTATAAATCAAAGCGCTTCTCTAATTTTATTTGTAAAATATAAAAAATATTTTTTTTAAATTTTATTTATAAAATACATTTTTAATTTTTGTGTAGATCTTTAATTTTTTTTACCTTAAGAAAAGCTAAGAATGTTAATAAATGTTAGAATATTTTATTTTTAAAGTATGTATATATATTAGAGATAAAGTTAGAAACCTATTGAATTTTTAAATATAGTTAATGAAATTTAAAGCTTTTATTGTTTAACGGGAAGATTGAGCTCTTCTAATGAATTTAACTTCCAAAGACACAAGTAGAAGACATTATTATTATTTAAGCGTTTCACCCTCATTTCACTGCAAAAGCATTAATGAATTTCAATACAAACCTTGATCGTGAACATGATAAAAAGATTTTCAAACGTTGTGATATAAAATATGTCAAGTGGTAAGGGTGGAGCGGAGTATGGGTAGAGATGAAAAGCTTAAACACTCTCTGATGTCAATAAACAATTTTTTTTTTAAAAAAGGATCATTGCTAAATTGACAAGCGAAAATTGAACGGTAGAAATGTGTGGGTTGGATGAATGAATAATGTAGGTTTACAAGATTGAAGGAAAAGGGTGTTTATGATGTCCTAAAGTATGGGCAGGAAGCAGGTGGAGGAGCCTCATTACTTAGAAATTGAAATTGATGGGAATGTTCAATGTGATTGCTGCTACTCTACTTTGGACACTTCCACTCTCTGCGCTTAACAAGATAATGTGTCTTCTTCTCTCAAGGAGCCTTCACAGCAAGACCTTTTCTTTTTAATGAATAAACAAATTAAATTGGGAACATTAAATCTTGCAAGAAATGGCGCCCAAGACCCAAGCAGATGGCAATAAGACATTTAAGAAAGACTTGCAATTTGTCGCCAATGCTTTCATTTCTCCCCGCTCCACGTCCGCGTGTATGCCCCACCCAATCAAAAGTCTTGCCCATTTTCTTTTTCACTTGCCATCGTCAAACCTTCATTTATTAATTAATTGTAAAATACAACAACTTAACTCTAAGCCGACTAGTATATTATTTTCCCCCTTGACCCTAAAATAAATGCTCACTACACCTCGCTCTCTTCTCGGTATATTCCTCATAAGTTGTGGCATATGGTCTTCCTCTTATTGTTGTTTTACCCCATCAAGGAATCCAAGGTTTCAGTTTTTCAATGTATCCCTTTCTGTAAGGTACTACGTGCCTTTCCTTTCACCATTTCAAAAATGTGCCATCCAATCCATGAGCTTCCTTATATTAGCTTTGTTTTATTACTACAACCACAACAACAAAAAAGAAACTAGTATCTTACAACCCCAACACATCAAAATTCAGAGAGAGAGAGAGAGAGAGAGAGAGAATTTTCCATGAAATTATACACTAGCTTATCAAATGGTGTCACCAATAATTTAATATGCCAGAATGGGTGACAGCTATATGATTGCAAATTGAGAATTCCGTGTCTCGTTTTTTTTTTTTTTTCTTTTGGGGCAGGCTGGCATATAATATTATATTAGGAAACATGGAATTTAAAAGTTTCTTACAGGTCACCCAAACTCTAGAATACCAGATTGCAGCAGTAACTTCTTTGTCATATTCCCAACTGATCTCAGAGCAATAGAGCCCCCTTTTGTTGTCCCACGTCCATAATAGACCCTATACTTGGCAGTTCAATGAACGAGTTCCCTTTACTTTATGTTGATTTTGAAACCTATGAGAATAAGAATGATGAGTCAGAGTTACTTTGTCTTTGCCATATATACAATACACGCACAAGAATGCGAGAAAGAAGCATCTGGATTCTGGGGCTTCGGTTGGCATCAGAGTCAATGGCTAAAGCCTCCTTGGATCAAACTTTGAAAAGTCAAACATGGCGAACTTGGATTTGGCCACCCAACTTGGCATCCTATGCTCTACACTCCAACCATCACTAAATTTAGCATTTATAACTAAATAGTAATCTTGTCCAACAAAGGACCCGCTCTCATAAATAAAGGCTCCATTGCGTTCATTTCCTTTTGAAATTTTTGCGACTTTAACAGGAGACAAGTACGATTTTGCGCCTCTCAAAATACTAATTAATACCCTAAATTTAACTTAGCTTTTAACTAAATAAAATGAACTTCTATGGATGGCCATACTTCATTTCATCCTTCCGTACACTTGACATACGCCAGTACTGGACAACATTATAGAACTTTCACACAGCGACTAATAGTTTTTTGAATTTACATGATTACTCTTGTCGGGGATGCATATGGTATAATTATAAAACTACACTGATAGCAATAATTTATAAATGAAAGTAACGAAGAATGTTAAAGCACGAGTAGGGTGATCATTACAAAGTTTGAAAAGCAACAAAAGAAAAAGCTACCGCTTGTCATATGGGTCCCCCAATCTCATCCCAAGATTGACATATATCTAAATCTAATCCTGGCTTTATTTTTTATTTACTTTTTCGTGGGGTGGCTCAATTACGAGACGGAGCATGAAGGCTAAGAGGACGCAACACGTCGCCATCCGAAACGATGAGGTTTTAGGGACCATGTAGATGACTCATTAGTCTTCTCTCTTATGGGGCCTATTAATGTCTACGTCCCTTGTTCTAAGCTGTCATTGAACTTAATTTAAATTTTCTTCAAATTATTAAACTAGCCTTCTAGATGAATTTAGGATACGCCTCTCCCCTTAAAGGGTGATAGTGACATACGTTATGCGAATGATTTAGGGACTACAATTGCAAGCTCAAGTGGTTAACTCGGAAAGCTCAAGGTACTTAGAAATTAACCACCAAATTTCTCACATCAATGATAGGGCAGAGTATTAAGAATATTGTATAAGATCGGTCTGCTGGGGACTAACACTCCATCTTACCCCAAGTAATAGTGATGGGTTGTCTTGTTGCACCGCTCGACGTCATTAAAGATCCTAATGTTACTTGTTATCTCACAAAGAAACCTATAGAGTGATCACAACCAGTCTGAATCTGTTTTAATGTGGCATTTAATATCATGTTAAACACAGTTTTGATTCCACGTTTAGAAATTAATCATAATAATGGAATACTTAATTAGTAAAATTATAGTGCAGTGGGAAAGAATTTGGAAAGTAAAATTCTAAATACAACACACCCGTGTGGGGGCAGGCACACCTTTCACCATCTAGGATAAGAACTTGGCCCAAACAAAACCCATGAATAGCCATAACCATAATTTAGAATCTCTATTTGATCATAGATTGCTAGCCCTGGTTAATGAACGCCGTTAATGAGTTTCCCATTCGTTGTAGATATGCAAAACATTATAGAAAGTTCAGTACCTTTGCTTGATAACACATGGAGACCTACTTCTCATATTTTTTTATTTTCTAACGACTAGCTTGACACCTGCTTCAGCACATTCCAGAGAAAAGCTATTCTTTCCGTTGTGTTTACTTGTCAGAGTCGGAGAACGAAAATATAATAAGAGCATTTGGAAAGTGGAAACCCTTTTGTTATACAAACATCAAAATCAAATAGCAAGAGGCATTCAGTCCCTTTCCGGTCAAGTTCCAACAAGGCGATCAAGGAGCTGCAAAGCAGTAAAATCAAATGTAAACTCTCAGCAAATCTTACATGTAGTTGTTCATACCATCAAAAACAACAAAACTACACTAGGCAGAAAATCCCATACCTACAAATTAGCTATTGTAATTATAAAATCCAATTATTTGATTAAATGTATTACTTGGCAGGTTATGCGAACAATGAAACTAAGTTACCAGGTTAATTCAGTCTGTTGCAACGGATGTGTAACTTAAAAATTTGATGATTCAAGAAATGAATCACTGGTCATCATAACGAATTGCTATTACCATCAGGACTAAACACTAACCTTCTTGTAAAGCATCGAATAAAATTTTAAAGGGAAAGTAGGAATAAAAAAGAACAAATGTTTCCACCATATCTTGCAAGATGAATCTGAAAAAATGGAACTTACGAGACAGGTACTGTACAATCCATCCAACAAAAGGAATATGGTAGAGGAATACTTTGATAGATGACCCAAAACCACTGCAACGAAAAAAATAAAATAAAAATAAATAATAATTGATAATGATGAGCATACCTTACCGCTCAGCTCAAAATACAAAAGGCAACTTGGGTCTCAAATGTAAGGCTACAATAGAATTTGGGCATTTAACTCCAAGGCAAAAATGGCTGGGCTTTGATTTTAGAAAATCCCAATTCTGGCAGCTACAGCATATTTAAAAATTTTAATAGTCTCAGCTGGTGTTAGGTCTAAGTGTGATAAGTATTCTAGGGTCCAAGAAGGAAAGCATTAACTAACCTGAAGAGAACAAAACAACCATATATTTCAAGTATTATACCAAATATAGGCCACCTAACAAAAATGAAGAAGAGCCCTAGAAGAAACGAGACAGAACCCTGCAAAAGAGGAAAAATAACGCTCTTCATCTCCAATTAGAATGCTTCCTTTGCTATAAATATAGTAGAACCCGAGAAAACAAAAATACAAGAGTGGCATGCTTATTAGGCTTTCCATCCACATAGAAGATCTATAGACCTCAAAGCTCCATAAACAAACTGATGCAATCATGTGGGGACAGAAGTTTTTATTTCTTAAAAACACTGGTCAGAAATTGTTTCATCGGACACCTAAAACAACATGAATTCTTTAATTCCTTAGTCTTATTCCTTCAGGTAACAATGACCAGCACATTGGAAACATCATTATAACTGGAATTGATGCTTTCCAAAGAAACTGGGACTAGGAAACAGTATCTAGAGTGCAAGTGGACAAGTATGTTCAAAAGCTTTTTTTTTTTTACCAACATGTTCAAAAGCTATTCAAAAACCAATTTCTTTGCCTTAAACTATCACGGACACAATAAGGATATGGAATATGAAGCAGCAAGAGTATGCCAAAATCACCAAGTAAAAAACTCATGAAATTACCTCAAATAAACTCTCAACTATTCTTTACAATACAATTAACACCAGTTACCAATTCCCAGATGTACTGTGAATCACTTAAGTAGGTCAAAAGAGTTTATGATAGAGATAGATATGTCTCAATATGCTAAAAGAAGGCATTGATGTTTTTCCATTATGAGTGGCTGAGAGAAACTGAGGAGGCACATTTATCTGCGCTGAATTTTACATGCTTTTCATAAATCAAACATACAAGTGGACTGAATAGGTCAAAGACAAACAATAACCAGAAGAATCAAGAAGTTTCTTCTTGTTTTGTTATATAGATACATACTAGAGTGGACCCACATCCCCAGCTAAACTACCCTGTTGACAACTTGTGAACAGTGCAACTCCCTACACCTTTTAATTTTTATATGTCATATTTGATATTTAATATTGATTGATTGATATTGATAATGATGATATTGATTCTAATTTATTTTTCTTTCTCACACTAACAGTTGTTAGCCTGTTACAGAAGTACATAACTTTAGACAGATTATCAAATTGGGCAGAGCCAAAGAGGAATTCTTAATACAACAAATGAAGAAAGATGTTTTCTGATCAAATTTACCAACGTTGTCATGCTTGCCATTTCATTTGTATACACTACCACCATAGCGAATGACTGTGAGAGAGGAAGGGAGGAGGGGGAAGAAGAGTGGGCATGTTTTATTGATTGATGGAAACTTCACCTAATATACCTTATAGTTTGCTCTGTTGGTGAAGAGGTTCCATGTGGAATGCCAACCAAGCAAAAGTGCTACACCTGCCAGCCAGAATATCTGATTCCCAAATACTAAAGTCAGTAAAGTTTTTTCCTTCTTAAAATTACGTTATTTTCCAAAGGGAGAGGGGGGAAAATCAATATTTAGGTTCTAAAGGAAAGCTCTACATTTCCCAGAGCGAGCAAGCCACGGTCAAAGAAAAGAAGTATGCCAAGAAATGAGAAAAAGATGCCAAAGCCAATTAGGCCAATACCAGCCTCTGCATTGTAAGAAATGCAAGATCAAAACGACATTTAATGATGTCTAGATATGCTAGCAATAGCACATATAATCATATACCAATAAAAAAGTAAATCATGTATTCAACAAAAATTTTCATGGCTAGTTAAGATAGAAAAGTCTTGGAAGCCCTGAAATATTATGATGAATAAAGCCCAATTCTTTTTTTAATTCAAACTCAATAAATCACAGAGCATTCAGATCTACACACACTAAAAGAAAATTATGCTCCTGCCAAGTTAAATGCTCTAGAAAAGCTAATAAAAGAATATTCTTCAATATTGAAGAGAACTAGATCAATTGGTTCAGATATAGCAACACCAACTAATATTTCAAATAGTTCACAAATTGAAGTGTCAGGTATGGAGAACAGCACCTCAAACAGAAGTTTAAATAAACAATCAAAGCACTTATTTTTACACAAAGTATATTTATCAATATTCAATAGTAAACGGAATATTCTTGCCAAAAAAAAAAAAAAAGTGAACTGAATATTGAGCATGCCTCCTAATGCCATGAACTGAACAACTCTTACTCTTTATCTCACTTAACTCGTAGGCCATATTGAATACTAAAACAGCACCAGATGAGGCTAGGACTAGAAGGGACCTTAAAAGAAACTGCAACAAATGGAGAACAGTCATATCAGATCATTGATTCACATGCTCATAAACATTGTAAAAGAAATATACACAACAAGAAGGTACTATTGCCACTTTGAGTAGCATTTCCAGATCTTGTGTTAGTCATCATAAGATTTCTGGGAGCAGAGCAGCTTCTTAATATTTAACAATTAATGTTTCAAACAGGAGTTGCAGTGATTGGAGAAAAATTAAAGAAAAAGAAGCAACTATGTAGACATCAATCACGGCCTATTGCAGTAGAGGAACCTGACCAAACAGCAATATAGCGACCCTAATTGTAATCCACAATTTAAAACCAGGGTAAAACTTCAATTACAGGCCACGCAAAGGCACATAGGTGCGACATTTCAGCTGAAGACTAATGACTTGTACGATTAGAATTGCTAAGATCGGCACCATGAGAACAATGAAAGAATGATTGCTAGACAACCTCCATATATTTCAGCGGAAAAACACTCTTAGGTATAAATTCCAAAGTGATTAACATTCAAAACAACATTACTTGAGAAGATGATCAATACCCCGTACAGATTTCAATGTCATGGTTTACAAGTATGGAGTAAAAAATTGGAATTCTCAAAAGATAATTGAAAGTTTACCTTTGTGTTTCTAAGTGTGAGGCAGGGTTGATGCTGCAGTTTCCAGATGCTTGGTGCTGCTAAAATAAATCTCAGTTTAATTAAAGCCGGAAGACCCTTTCATGCTCCATGTGGATTCGAGGAAAAGGAAAGCTGTTTGAGCATAACCCTGAGTGAGTTAACGAAAATAACGGAAAATAAAGAACAAATGTTTAAGAAAAAAGAATCAGAACCCAGCTGCATTGGATTCAAGGCAGCCCACAATCGAAGATTCCGAAGGCGACGATGAGAGAGAGAAAGAGGTTCTACCTCAACTGACAACGTCAGCCAAATGAGTGAGAGAGTCGCTATGTTTATGGACCTGAGCATCTTATTGACCTAATCCAATATTATGGGTTTAACCACAATCTCAAGAATTTAGCCCAAGAAATTTCAATGTTATGTTTGGGCTCAACTTCTCGCTGTGTCTTTTTCTTAGCCAACCTTGTGACCAAAAATTTGTTTATCTGGACTCTGCTTCTTCATTGATGTTGTTATTATTTATGAAGAAAAAAAACATAATATTTGTATAAAAAAAAGCATACATATTCTATTATTAGATTCTTTAATGAAAATAATGATAATAATAAACATAAATTTTGAATAATGAGAAATGCGATTTTTCTTTTTGCTGACAAGTCTTTGATTCTACAATTGGATGATACATTGGCCATGTTTTCATTAAAAAATTATCTATATACTTTAATCAAAATATCTGGCAGAGAAAATGGAAGTTAGTCTAATCCATATTTGGATGTAGGATAATATAAGTGAATAATTTGGATTTGAATGAACACTTGTTCATCCATTACCATTCGTGTTCTCAAGTTTAGATATATTTTTCTAAACAAATAATCAATGTAACATTAAACTAATAGAGCCACATTATTGATAAATAAGAAATGGTCTAATTTCAAAAGAAATCTATGCAATTAATATAACATATAAAATTTGTAGAGTCACACTATTTATAAGCCAAAAATGGTATAATTCTGTTCAAACCCCATATACTTTACTTTTATTCTTCTAATCTTTTTCAAAGCATTTATCGAGCTCTAAGCTGTTGATTTAAAAAAAAAAAAATTGAGCTCTAAGCAATTTTTTTTTTATTCTTCCAATTTCTCAACATATTAAAATAAGGTTTAAATGTTTTTAACAAATTCAACTTCTTCCAATCTTGCCAGGAAGGAAGTGTTATTCTGCAGGACATTCAACATATATTCTCTTATTTTAGTTCAGTGTCAGTTGAATAAATTAAGCAACATTATACTCCTTTGTTCTCTTCTTTATCTGTACTGACTTATGAACTGTAACTTTTATTACATTAATTCATCGTTTGACCATAAACAAAAACAAAAATCTCTTCCTTCCATTTCTTTCATTTTCTCGAATTGCAACAATCAAAGAGAGAGAGCACGACAGAAAACCCAGGGTCCTTCTTTCCCTTCGTTCTTCCTCTTTTGATCACTTATGTCAGTCACTAGTGATCATGTTGTGACCGTCGCTGCCACGGAGGTCCTTTCGTGTAGTCTTCTTCCTCATCCACGTTTCTCGCCGTCGGTCTTCTTCTTCTCTTCCCTCTTCAATCGCTGCAGTGACGTACTGAGTCGTCCTTGTCTTAGTGGGTCAGCACTTGTTCTTCTTCCTTCCCTTAGCTTGATTGGGTGTGGGTATGCTTGAAACCTCTCCTCCTTGTTTTTTTCTTTTTGTTTTTTTTTTCCTGCTACCGTCCATCCGTGTGTGTAAGCGTATTGTTTGGGTTGTTGTAAAATCTGAATCTTTCTCCTTATTCTTGTCGATGCATGGAATAGAAAGTAGATGGAATTTAATCAAGTTGGAACTTAAAATTTAAAGGGTGCATCTTGATAGATAATTTCACTTGAGTTATTCGATTACTATAAGAGGAAAGAAATTGGGTTCTTAAGTCTAAATTGATTTTTGATGGGAAGTTTGAATTGTACTATATATAATATTGATATTGAAACTATAGAGGCAAGGGGTTGAAGGTTAAAAAAAAATTAATTGATTGAATTAGAAATTTATACATGCTTGGTGTTTGTAAAAAGGTTTGATAGAAGATTGTATTCTAATAATACAATTAGTTGGGTTAGAATGATATGAGAAATTTGGAGACTTCAATGATGATGAAGGATGAACTTTGATTTGTTCAAATTGATTGTAGTTGTATTACTGTCGCGAAAGAGTTTGTTTAATTGTAAAAACAATATTAAAATTATATTATATTTGATAGATTATTAGAAAAAGAGAAAATTTGATTGAAACTGTGAGAAAAGAATTTTGAAATTAAAGGATATATTAAGTAAGTAAATAATATTTTTAACAATTAGAAGTAATAATCTTTTTCTTACTTTATTTTTCGCTCATTCTAAATAGATTTTCCTATTCTACATTTACGATTAAGTTAATTTGAAATATACAAATATTTTATTTATTATTTGAATTTATTTATGCAATTATTGTCATGGCATTTTATTTTTCTAAAGTATTATACATGCATGGACTAAATAAATTACCAATGAAAAGATTATTTATATTTTATATTAAAGTACAATTTGAACTATAAAGATTTTTAGACTCCACATAAACTAGAATTGTTTTATGGGATTGAATACAAAATGCTAATTAGTAATGACAATTTTGTTAGCTCTTAGTGTACCATAGCACTCTTAATTAGTAGGATACGTTTGAAGTGTTAGCCCCGTGTATCGGCCAACACACATGAAAGGGAGGGTGTAATTTTGTGAATATAATCCACACCTATTATTTGTGAGCTTCATGATTGCGTCTATTTTTTGTGACTTCTTGTCACGCCGAATGTTACTTACTCTCGTGAACTGTATATCCACACTTGATATTTATTCTGTTTAAGTTTTAACAAAAAATAGGTTTTCAAGTTATATTTTCATTTTCCAAAGGATAAATTATATTTTTATAAATTTTAAAAAATTGTATAATATACATGTATTGTTTTTATATTGTAGTTATGATTTTTCGTTGTCTCTTTATTATTATTGTCATCAAATTAAAAGGCTGATGATAAATTATAATGTTAATTGTCTAGTACTATTAACGATGATATCTATCTATTTTTTCAATATACATATAGATACATACATACATACATATATATATATACATGTTGATGATTATTGTTTCCATTATTAATAATATTTGAGAACGTTATTCATTAAAAAAATTTTTGATATTTAAATAATAAAAATGGACTTTCTTTTCAGTACATCCGTAGGACTCTTTAAGTCAAGAAGCATTTTGTTACTCTAATTACCTTCTGGATTAATGTAAACATTTAAGTCTCGTTTGGTTATTAGAAAAAAAAAGAATAGAATAGATTAAAAAAATAAAAGTAAAAATAAAATTATTAAAAGGAATAGTGAACCACATTCATAAAAAAGAAGAGTCATTTAATTTATGGAGTTAAGAATTATAATTTATGAAATTTTTAAAAGGTGTGATAATTTTTAAATATATAATATATATTAATAATTTTTATTATGCTTATCATGAGCAGGAGGGATGATTTAATTTATTTTTGTATAAATTTTTTCAATTCATTCCATTCTTTTTTTTTTTAGAGTAATCAAACATGACTTCAAGCATTTTGTTTTGTTTTGGAGTTGCTTTACGAATCCTGTAAGGACGATCCCTGTTTTAAATATTTTGGCTTGTATATATGTACTATTATGGAGCTGGCAGGTTGTATAGATTTCATGGAATCCAACTTACAAGAAAAATTCTCTCAAAATTTCTACAACGTTATATATTATGTTCCTTTTAGTTTATGTTTATTAACATAAATCATGATAGTATGATAAATTTGTAATTAATATGTTAGGTATTATATCAATTTCAGACTCATGAAATATGAGTTTTTTTAATATTTGGGCCCTCATACTTTGATACTTCAGGGTGTGACATATACACTTTGAATACTTAAGAACTGTGTATTTGCAGCACAATAACTATTACTTACAAATGTATGCAATTAAGCATAAATTATGTTGAAATAACAATATATTCTCCTTAATAAATAATATTTTGTACGATTCAATTTATTTTATATATATACACACACACAGATATAATAATTCTAAATTGAGTTGATGCTACAGACACGTATGAATAAAACACACCGTATAACAATGTTCAAAATGTAAATAATCATTAAATTGTTGGGGACATTAAATTTACACTTGACTGATCTGATGATGATTGAACAACAAGTCATCAATATCCAAACAGCCAACAGCACATGAATTTTTCTTTTTTGGTCAAAATTATATATTTAGTCAAAGCCCATGCAATGGATGGAGTCTTATGAATTATATTAGCATCCTATCAATTTCAGCTTGTATTGACATTAATTATACATTTGGGCCAAAAAAAACCAAAGAAATTGATTATAATGAAGGGTCAATCAAAGACCCCTTTTTTCATATCGAATCGAACCATTTATTAGGGCTGTGACTTTAAATTACAAGGATATAACACAACAAATCATGAAAAAATTACACCTACCTTCCATCGCATGCAATATATTCTGTAGAGTGACAAGTAGATTTGCTCTCATCATTTACTCACGCAATGATGTTCCATCACTTGACTGAGCATTTCGAGCCCCCAATAATTTTTGCAAGGCAGCATGACATCTGAAAGTCCAAAACAATTGTCACCAAACTAGCTATGGTAAGAACGCAACAGTCATGATAATTGGGTAACGAGAAAAAGACATGGTTTTGTGGCTCGTCATACCTCCAAGGGAGATGGTCAAGGAACATGGATGGCGAAACAACAATATCTTTGAATTTTTCTCTATCTGCTATATACGCCTTGTAATGATTTTCCTTCCCCCGCAATCTAAAAGGTGTCCAAGTTGCGTATTGGAGTTTTTAGGTTCTGGAACAATATGAATTATGAGTCCTGGCAGATAAATGTCGGGGTGGTTGCTGGCTGCCTCATTTTCTAAAGTTTGATCAACATCTATTAAATGAGTCACGGGATCATTGTTTGAATTCACATCTGCAGCAAAAGGATTCATGAACTCTGTCTCATGAATTTCATCAACTTGGTCCCTTGCTCTGCCGCCGACCCAGAGAGAATACTCTTCATGCTCACTGTTGCCTGTAGTCCAAACAAAAGCACTTAGAGGCGGAATATGCAATTATGAAGGACTGGTGCATTTGTTCCCTGAGTCATGATAGCGAAGAACAAGATTGAATATACAATATTGCCATGAAAGCTATGAGCACGATCAATGATTTACAACCTTCACCAGCAAAAGAATTTGCAAATTCACGATTGTCACTTTCAATATGACCACTTCTGTTGGCTTCCGTCCAGAGTGGAAATTCTTGAATATCTTCTTCCATGTTACCTGCTGCATTAATTAAAATCCGTTAGTAAAGCACCTTTGACCAGCGAGCCTGATGAAAATATCATCCCCAGTTTCCACCATTCATTATAAAATCAACTATGTTCTCCTAAATGCCAGCAACAGATTAAGAAACTATGAACAACCTTTAGTACAAGTCTCGATCTGGCTTCTGCCTATTTGATGGTTTAAATCTTCCCCGGCGATGGCCCCTGAATAATAATCAGATGGATCGTGAGCATAAGCAATCTGACCACTTTCACATTTGCTTTTGTATAGAAACTGACAGGCAAGTTGGAAAATCGTGTCAGCATCAGCTCTAGGATATTCTGACAGAGAAGCAAGTGCAGCTGCCCTTAGCCGAAGAACGGATCCAATTGAAAGGCATGCTGAAAACTCATTGCCAAATATAATGCTGCATAAAGAATGAAAGAATGGTTTTATTGAAATAAACAAAACACAATGAAACGAGTGCATAAATTCCCACTCACCTTGTCACAAATTCTGAACATGCATTCGCCACAACCAAATCCACGCATGGGAGCGGCCCATATGCATAGACATGCAGATTAGGATAAAGGCGATAAAGCTGTGCAGTGCAGAAGGTAACAAAATAATGAACATGAAAATTAAATGGAGCGTAGAAAATGCAACATGTCAAGCCAAATAAGAAAAGAAAACGGCAAGGCAATACACTTTATCAAACGATTAATCTAACTTGAGCATTTAAAACATACAAATGGAAAATAATTCTATAGCATTAGAACTTATAAAAATATATATCACCAATTAGAACTCCAATGAGAAAAATTCTTGTATTTGACTTTCTAAATTTTGGACAAATCGTTCTTATACATGAGTTAGAGCAGAAGTAATGGTTAATTTCCTTTACATACTCGGCAGTCATTTTCATAAATCTGTTAGTTGACTGATAGTTTTTGCTGAGCGATTTCAAATGCAAAGCTATGCTAATAGAATAATAAGATTGGGATGCAAATAAATCTACTGTGTTCTTTTCTCACAAAAAGAGTGAACATGAATGGCTAGCATATTTGCATCTGTAATCAGCATTGGCGAAGGAAGCAAGGGTATGCAATATTCACAATACCCTGTATTCGTTGTAAGCTCAATCTAATGAAAATGGAAGATCGTTACATCAACTAGATAATGTCAACCAAAAACATCATTTTTAAGTAAAATGCCATACTCGTATTCCAAGCAATGCAGCAATAGCACCTCCAAGAGAATGCCCAACTATGCGAACCTCATACCCAAAGCATTCACGACCAACTCCCAGTAAGGTAGAAAGAAGACCACTGGATTCAGATTCTGCATGCCCATTTCCATTAACACAAGTTGGCTAACATTAAGATAAGAATGTCAAGAGAGCCTTAATATTAAAAATAAATGATGACATGTTTGGATTGGGAGCTGATCATATAAAGCACCATATTGTTCACCCTCTTAATGACAAAAAGAAAGGACTAAAAAGTGGCAAGGAGATGAAAGGGCTCAATACCCTAACTTTCTAGATCAAATAACCAAGAGTTTGAAGAACCAGAAGGACTCTCACCATGTTCCCCAGGATTTCCTTCAATCTGCATAAAAATCTCTCGGGCAGCCTCAACAATACCTGAGTGGCCATAATGAGGGAATGATGAGGTCACACTTTTCCTTACATCAGAATGAATGTGGTTGCAGCTGCCAATGGGTAAATAAGCATTGGAGTAAGCAACCAATTGATTAATGATGAGACCAGTAAAAGATCTAAAAATTGAAGAGTAAAAAATTAATTCTTAATGATAATATACAATACTAAACTAGAGCTTTTCATGATGCTTCCTGAAAATGTCAAATCCTCAAATGGTTTGCCATTTGCCATTGTGTGGCTTAAAAATGTACTTGATAGTGTCAAACAAGATTCCTTGGCATGTAGCCATCTGCAGCGTCATTCAAAAATCATATGCCTGATCTGACTACCTAACTTCAATACCAGAGAGCTGACTAAAAGATTCATAGACATTCCTTCATTAATGTGTCAAATTCTAGTGATTCACATATATCTTCACTCAGATCTTAGTGGTTAGCTTTCAAAATTAAGTTTATACGCTCCATGGCTTTTTACAGCTAAATACTGCAAACTTAATTTTTAGTGCAACATAGAGCTGCATTCAATTTCCTGCAAACTCAATTATTGGGTGGCTTTGAATTAAATGAATAACTAATAGCTCAGAAGTCAGAACTCAACTCAGGTCAAATTAACAAAGGAAGTCATTGAAACATTACAGGATGGGCAGGAATGTTGTTGGATAGTCAAGTATAATTGATTAAGTTCATTAGGTAAATGATTAAGGGGATAAAACAATCAGGGGATTCCATCAATGATAGGAACAAGAATTTTCTCTTGCACATTATAGTTCTGCATTAGCAAACGTATAAATGCAGATAGTGAGAAAAAGGAAGAAAGGAAAATACTTTATTAGACCAGCCAAATCATCTGCAGAGAGGGTGCATTCCTTGCATAATCCATCAGTTATTAGGTCCTCAGGGGTCTCAGTTCCACGAATAGTAATCACTACACATCTTAGACTTTGTAGAACCACAACAAAGTATGCAGCTTGACATTTGACCTGGTATGTGTAACGGATAAACAAATTTAGCATAATGTCACTTAAGCCCTATTCCATAATCACAATATTATACCCAGAGGAATGAAGATATTTGTGCATCTCAAGTTGAGTAGGTCTGGTTTCCTGCATTTAAAACTAAACCTAAAATTTGGGTTCCAAAAAAGAAACAAACGACCTGCTTAATCAACAATAACCAGAGTGCAGGAAGTCAATTTGATTCACTTCACTGAGAAAAGTCAAGGAGAACAAAATATATTATAACAAGGCTCTATGACTGTAATATAACATTGACTTTAGACACTTAACGCCCAATCATACATTTGGTTCCTGCTTTTACTGCATTTACAGTTGAGCACCATTACCTTTACAAGAACCACTATAACTCATTTACATGAGTATTGGGATTGTGAATATAAAATAAACCAAGAAACCCCAAAGGCCATCAGGCAAGAGCAGCCTTGAACAAAATGTTTTCCAAGTTTGGATATATTTTTATAAGCATCCTTTAAACACATTTTCATTTCTTAAACGTCTCCTACAAAACTAATCCATACATTGCTAAAGGTGAGTCTCTGTCACCTAAATCCTAACATCAAAACATCTCACTCAGAGCAGATTAGTGATTAATTGAATAATCTCACCTGGTTGATACGTCCATGTCTGAGCACTTCAGGGGGTAAATTGACATACTTCAGAAAGGCCGCTGCATGACCTCGCCACCAGTTATCACCAACTAATACAGGTCGTCTAAAGAAAGTGATATCATAATGATGCAGAGGCAAAAGAGGCAAAAAGAAATCAAGTTTTATGCATCTATGCATATTTGAAAAGAATGCAGACGAGACATAAGATGACAGAGTAGGAAATGTCAGTGTGAATGAGTAAGTATGCATGGCCTAAACACAAAATCTAACCAATTAATGGAGTTTATCATTCAGGCTACTGGATGGACAAATAAGTAATATGCACTAGTTTTCATATGATTTTTCTTTTTGGTACAAAGTTTTCAAATGATTTTAAATTTAAACATTTATGAGCTTTTTAACATGAATTTGAAAATATACTTTGCTGGTCTATTGCTGATGGGGAATATGGCTACAATTACGTCATTGTTTCAGTAGTTAATTTAGTTTAAAGTTTGTTTTCTTTAAATTATTTTAGAATAGGATATCCGTTATCTTTTAAAATATTATTCTTTCAATTATGATATTCAGGGCTCTATAGAGAGCCACACTACTCACATGCTGCGAATTGTACAAGTCCTCTCACAAAATTATTTCTTGGGCTCAATGCAATCTTTTCTTTTTATATTCCTTCAATCTTTCTCCACACATTTCAATAAAATCTAACCATTAAAGAAATGAATATAACCATCGAGAAAATTTTCATGTGATCATGCATTACCATCTTTTTTTAACTTGTTATCATTCTCAAGCATTGCACAAAAATATCTAATTATTTAATAATTCTTTTGAAGTCTGAGATCATTTGCTATGTTCAAAAGAGGAAATACCTAATCACACTGAAGCTAGGGTTCAACTATCATCCAATAACCCAAGCATTCTAATGTTTGAAGTTAATAAGCATTGAGTGATAAATGCCCATAAAATAGGGTATCCAACAAGATCCCACCAACTTCAGGTTCAAAAAAATAAACCACCTGCTGCGTGTCCATGGGCACAAAACTCCTTGTCTGTAGAGCCATGCACAAGGAAATATGAAAGGATTTCGCCCAACATCAAGCAATGGACCCTGCATCATATCATCAGATAAATTCTCAATTTAAGTTGGACAAAAGTGCAAAAATATCTAAGAAGTTGTCAGCTAGGAACATTCAGTAATTTAAAGTGAGAAAAAGTGTACAAATACCCATGAAGTTATTTTTTCCAGTGCATCTGTGACCAAACCGTTAAAATTCAAGTCGGTACGGTCACATGTGCACTTAAAAAACAATTTCATGAGTACTCATACACTTTTCCTCACTTTAACCTACTGGATACTCCTAGGTGACAACTTCTTGGGTATTTTTGCTTTTTTGCCCATTTAAGTTAATAAGCAGCAAATGCAAGTTGCAAGAAGTATTTTGCTCTCAGTACTGTGTAGGCAGCTTCAGCAAATTTATGGAGAGCTGCAGCCTCCCGAATATGCATTTCTGGCGGTTCCATGCACTCACCAAATGACTCTGAAGGTTCTCTATCTCTTTGAAGTAAAACTAAACCTGGAGAAACATCCATGTCATACAACACAATGGTAACATGAAGCTGAAGTGAAATTGGCAAAATGGTAACACGTGAAATGTTATTTGGATTACACATCCGGCAATATTTAAATCTCTCAACTAGATCAATTCTACCAGGGACATGTATTTGGAAGCAAGAGCATGGTCTTGACCACTGGAGTGCAGTAGCAGACAATGAGAATATGAGATAAATGGAAATGATGTAATTTTCAGGAGTTCATTTAAAGGTGAAAAGCAATCAGTGGCTACTGGGGTATGACTATGATATATATAAAAGAGAATTACATATACCAATACATTTATCAGCATGCAGCCTCTCCATCTCTCTGACGTTGTTATGGTATTTGGATGGGGGGAAGAAAGGGAAGAAACAAAGAAACAGAACAGAGACAGAGAGAGATAAGGGAAACAAAGAGCAATGAACTGAATAGTGCAATTCTATTAGGAGTTAAAAATCATCTGAAATACAAGGTACATCCCTTTATTTATAGGCATTCTTAATGAGCTTATCTAGCTGCTATAACTAACATTAAGTCTCACTAAATCATTTTAGATCCTAACAAACAGTAACTAACAAGTTTTTTCCCATTTATATTTACATAACAGACATTGATGTAAAAGAGAACCCAGGAGGAGCCCTTTCAATATCACGGTAGATATTGATTATTAGCAGGGAAGATAAACTACATTATCATAATTTGACCCAACATTGATTTTGTAATTAGTATAGTCTGATAATTACAGAACTACCTGACTTTTCTAAAAGACGCCACAATCAAGTAGTTTGTTAAGCTGAAGCCAATTAGATTAAATCTCCCTTAGTAGGCATTCTACTTCTAGATACTCCATTAACATTTAAGGTAACACGACATCTTGGAAGAGTAAGAAGCAGGATGATGGTGCTAGGTCAATTGTCAAAGTTGATTATCAGTAGCAATGTACAAATTTAAATGGCTAAAACAATTACTTTGGGAATTATTGAATCAAGAAACACTACACATTGCCTGTAACAAGCTTTGCCCAAACAACATTTATACTCCAACTTTTTGTTCGACAAAATACTCACACTTAATTGCCTGTGTCAAAGATATTCAACTTCCAAAGGAACCGCCTGAAGAGTGAAGACTAGAGCACCAAGTTACTAACACCTCAAACCAACATACACTGGCCATACAACTAGTCATGTTATCTCTTGGTTAAAGTGAAAAAGAACTTTCATATAAAAAGAAAAAAAAAAGTGAAAAAGAACCTTCACATAAAATTATAAAATCTTTCATTTAATGAGCTATAATTGGAAGGATTAAGACTAACGCTATGGTACAAATGCCTAAGAAAATGCATTGCTTCAAACATTTCATTATAATAAATTTCAAAGCTTTTTAAGCTTTATGGAAAAGAGGAAACTGTATCATCCTTTGGTGTCTTTGGCTGATGAGGAAATCTTAGATATAAAAGGGGGAAATCTGTTTCCCTAGATTTTATATGCATAAGGACAGTTTTTAGTTGTCTCTTTTGTGTCCAGCACATTGATTCTTTCAGGAAATTTCTATGGTAGTGTAGAAAAATCAACCAGAGAACACAATGTTACAGAGAAAAGTCTTTTACACCTGCCAAAAGCTCCAAATGCCCAGTGCCAGATGCACGATATGCAACAAGATCACCCAATAACTGTGCAACTGAATAGACTTCATCTTCTTCCATTGTACTCCTAGAGAATTGGGTAGAAAACTAGAGATCAGAGTCAACATATAAAAAAATATATGTATGTATGTATGTATTGGGAAAATCAAACCTCAGAGGAGCATACATGTATCTGAATCGGCCTAGACAGCACAAAGTTTCCCGTAGGCCATGATCAAACACCTCCATATAGTGGTGCTTCCAAGCATTATCATGGGTTTCATAGAAAGATCTCCATTTAAGAACATCAGACCCAGCAAAGCACTGCACTAGGGCAACAAAACATATCGTAATCATGAATAAAGCCAGTAACTTCTGCTTCAACCAGCTTGATTTTGAGTCCAATTCTGCATTACAATAATGGCAGATATAACTGTAAAATTCTCAGATATGTATGCTAGTAATAGCAGTTAAGTACATCGCCAGACTCTAAAGCAAAGCATGAAAATATAGTCATAAAAGTAAAACAGTACTTTTTCCTAGTTGACTAGCCTTTTTTTTTTCTCATTAGGAGCACATATGGTAACTAAGAATTCAAATGCGTGTTTTCAATTAAGAACCCAATCTGGTCTGCTAACATCATCAGCTCTTATAAGGTCGAGTAGACACTCATTTCTCTATTAGAAAGGGCCCAAAACTAATTTTGGCACATTCTTCAGTAATCCAAACATTGCATAAACTATTAAACTTTGAAAATAGGGTGTTATCTGAAGAATCATCAAACCTAAAAACTGATTGTAAATTGGCCTAACTCTTTGTATGGAGATAAACAAAGCAATATTGTAGTCGCATTAAATGGCAGTCTTGATATCAGAACTGGAACTGTGTAGTTTTCAGTTTAAACTTCTAATCAGTTAGGAGAAAAAGTAAAGTTTAGAGAAATCTTGTAGAAGTCAAAAAGGTGGCCATAAGTAGTAAAATTTGGGATGATTTCTACAGTCAAAACTAAGATCATCCACAAAGGATTTTGAAAAACTAAAATAAGTTGCAGAGTGCAAAATTGTTGAGATGAAAAATATAATGATGATACAAAGTGTATCAAACAGTAATCAGACATGAAGAAGAAACATTCTTTCTCAGAGCATTCCATCAGGTTGCTGAGAGCATCTGACCCAGTGTCACAGCTGTAATGCATCACATAATTATCAACAACCCATCCACAAATTTTCAAAACTAGGTTATAATTAACCTCTGAAACTGTAAGGATAACAAATTTATAAGCAAAGAGCAAGACATATATATATATATATACATACATATATATCTTGGGCTCCCTTTCTCAATGAAGAAATCATCCCAAGGATCTTTCTCTGATAATCAGATACTGAATTCTATTGAACAACTTCAGCATAGTTTATTTAAAGAAAAAAAGAAAAAAAAAGTTCCCATTGGTACTCAAGCATCAAACACAAAATAGCATTTACGTAACTTGACTTCAAAAGATCCCTCGCCTCTATGAATCTTCCTATTCAATATCTAACCTAGTTGAACCATACGGTCATGTCACCTATTTCTTTCTCCATCCATTCATGATCCCTTCCCTTTACAATATACTTCCTTCATCCTAAATATAGGTCTCAATTTTTTTAGGCAACTCTAAAACCTAAGTGATGTATAAAAAGTAGCTTTTTGTTTCCAAATATGCCCTCAATTAAATGCCTCCTTAGAAAGTACATTCTAAAGTAATTTTAATTCTCTATAAGGGTATTTTAGGAAAAACTCATTAATGACACCTACAATTCCAAATTGAAACTCGTATTTAGGGACAAGAAATCTAAAATTTGAGACTTATAAATAGGGATGGAAGAAGCATATTTTAGGAATTTTCTCCTTTGAAAGTATTTGAGCTCCTTGACCGTGACTAGTATATAATGAAATTTCATTTGCTGTTTCCTTAACCACTTAGCATCCTGACATTTTTCACTTGTAGAAGTGAAAAACTAATAGCAGATGGACTTTGAGAGGGAAAATTGTTCATAACTTCACCAATATTTAGGTATGAGTAATCATGATCACTGAAATATCAACGATCATAATTTTAGGAATTTATTCATTTTGATCATAGGTTAAATGATAATCAAGTCAGGTAGTGCTAATCAGATAGCTCATGTGACAGTTTCTATAATCAATTTGGTCCAACAGCAAGATGGTTTTTTGTTTTCTAGGCCATTATCAGATGAAAGAGGTAAACTTTCTTGATGAAAGCATTATTACACAAAGACACAAGAACTCATGCAAATATATGTACACACGCATACGCTATCCAAACAACAAATGTTTGATGTTTATGGAGAACCACAGCATTAGTTGAAAGCATAAAGACAAAGAAGCATGCGAGAACTCATCTTACCTAAAACACAACCACTTGATGTTCTATCTTTTGAGAAATATTCAGTTGTCTTTAATATAAGGTATGTTGCACACACAACTTGCAGCACTAAAACGACCAATGATAGTCGACTCCACCACAGCCATTTCTTATACCTTATCTATTTCTTGCAAATTATAAAATATATATGTTAATTCACACAATTATACAAATCAAATGGTCTAGGAATCATAATAATCAAGTTTTCACATATAACTTCAAAATAATGTGATTGAAATGAAAGATGATGGACATAATCCAACCATGGGAAGGAACAAGATAATCAACATAAGAAAGCTAGGTGACATTCTGGCCCAAAAAAAAAGAAAATGAAAGCTACGTGATAAGAAAAGAACTGCCAGCTGCACAGTATCTTGTAATGTGCCACTGAACCTGCTCATGCTATAGACTAATTACAGTTATGGTCTCCTGTGGCATTTTAAGACTACCATAGCACATGTCCAGGAGAAATTGTTCCATGGTCAAAGGGCACACTCCTTGATCTCAAGGACTTCATACAACATATTGCATCAAACGACAGCCATTGAACAATGTAACAATAGACATGGTGCTAATTAAAAATTAAAAACACAAAAATCAAACATTAGGCCCAACAAACATTAAGCCCCAGAAAGTATTGCTTTCAGCCAATAAACCTGCAACATGTCATTAGTATTGACTCTATTGAGTACGTTATCCAAACAGATGGCTTGACTAAAGAAAGAGCATTAAGTTTCAAATTGCGCTTGTCAAGAAAAAAGGTGTCCCGATTAGGAAATTACTGCCTAAATTGTGTAAAACATTTTATAAATAGGAACTAACCTTCTAAAAGTCGTCTTGGAGGGAGTAATAGATTATATTCTTATTCTGGATTGGCTTGAGACGACTAAAATGCAGCTAAAGAAAATAACCATAGAGCCTAAAGTAAGACAATGTCTGCCTCTTGTAGCACTTTAGATTAGAACCTAGGGCACCGAAGATTCGGAGCTAACGATTTTCTGGCATTTATGTGAATATTTTGTTAAATATTTGCTTCCTTTGTGACAACAAATTGAATTCTGAAAATGACGTTAAAATCAATCAAAATCGCAATGCTTGTCATCCATTCTATTTAGCTTAGGTACACCATTGAGATACACGGACAAGATTGAAATAACAAGATACACATGGAACTTCCTTGTCTAACATCCAGAAAGACTGAAATAAGATGAGCAACTTGCTTGATTACCCGTCTCTCCAGGCGAACTACTGGATCAGCAACAACGGTGCCGTCGGATGGACACTTAAGGATGCACTTGGCAGTGATTTCTTGAGAAATTCCAGTTTGGATCATGACCCCAATTCTCATAAGCGCGGCAACAGATACAAGCACGAATGGGAGCACATATTGGCGGTCGCAGTGCGGGTAGGCCTCGATAATGAGAAACCCACCAAGGAAAATGACCAACAAATTGGAAACGGCCGTGAAAATAGCGGTACGTCTAAATTTCGTCAGCCTGGAGACCCACATTGTCACTGCGATGAAGCAGTGCACTGGGGCGATTGGGATTGGGCGGAGGAAGGAGGAGACTGGGTTAGTAATTATGTGCGTTGTTTCGGGGATACGCGAGCATCAGGATACATTGCCAGATTGCCTGTAGAGTTTCGTGCATTGTCGAATTGCAGATTCCATTGTCATTAGTCCCTAAATGGCTTCGGTTAGCGATTAATTCGACCCTCTTGTCACCGATAAAATCATAAAAAAATCATATTAAAGTCTTTTTTGCCAGAGAATATCAGATTAAAGTCTGAGTCTAATCTAACTAACTTCTCTTTTGCCCCAAAAAATAAAATATATATATATATATAAAACTAAATTCTCATTCTAGGCGCATACCATCTCATTCACCATAAAATTCTAACCACATAGCAATAGTTCATTTCCAATCTCTTCTATTTGATGCCTTTCCCATTTGTTAGATGGATTGTTTCTTTTTTTTTTTTTATAAATGGGGCTTAAGCCAAGGAAAAGTCTAAATGTGTGTTTGATTTTTAATTTATATCTAACAAAAGTTTATTTAAAAGATTCAATTATTTATTGGATTTGATAAAAACACATCTTATATTTGGTTTGATTGTACTTTTGAGAATTATTCAAACAACTTTTAAATAAAATTACAGAGCATTAATCCTATGAGCTACACCCATTTCAACCGCATTAGCTCTAATGAATTCTGTAATATCGTGAAGAGGTTGTTCCCATCTCATGCTTGTTTCTTTTTGATTCAGACTCAATTTTGTCACTGCATCAACACTTTTGATTTCCCTCTCTGTACACATGTTGAATTTCCAATTGCCATACTCAGCTCATGAGTATGTTTCAGATTCAGCGTCAGGAGGTAACATCCTTTTGTATATTGATTACAATTGAGAGCTTTCACCACCTTAGCAGCATCACTCTCCACTATAACCTCTCTGAGTCTTGGCTCCCAACAACAATGAAGTCCATGTATAACTGCCCACACTTCAGCACCCTTGGCCTTATAGATGCTAAGGAAAAAAAAAAAGAAAATCCTCGTCTCCACTTACCCTCGTCTCCTCTAATAACTCCTCCACATCCTTTTCTGCCATCATTGCTATGTGTTCTATCTATATTCAACTTATGCTAGCCTTTCCTTAGTTTCTCCCATGTTATCAGTTCCACATGCTGCTTAATGCTCTCTGGTTCTGCCTCTTTCCCTTTGCAATGCATGTTTCTTATGTATTGCTAAATTAGCTCATCTGCATTATATGGGATTGCATCTTTCTACAATCCAATTTGCATTCACAAATTTCTACACTCGATACTCTTCCCAAAACGAGGAATATTGATTAAAATTTAAAATGAAACATCATTTTTTTAATCATGTGTCAAATTAAAAAGAAGTAATTAATCATCAATTCATTCTATTTGTAAGGCAATGCAAACTATTTTTCAAAAATAAAAAGTATTAGTCCAATGTTTGAGGTTTTTACAACTTCTCAAAAACAAAATACTTAAGGTTTGTTTGATTTCTATTTTCATTTTGTATTTTTTAAAAAAAAAATTAAAACAAAACAAAATAAAAATATGTCTAATTATGTTAATTCAAAAAAAAATTAAAGTTAAAAAATAGGTCAATAGTAAGAGTTAAAAGTGATTAATTGTGATGGTTTATAATAAAAATTAACCAAACTAACTATATTTTACAATAATCAAATGTAATGTGTTTTGAAAATAAAAAAATAAAATGAAAACCACTTTAAAATATTTATTTTTTTATTTTTAAAAATAAAAAACGAGAATAGTTTTGAAAATTATTCAATTCAAAACATTTATTCAAGCAAGATTTTTATTTTTTTACTTTTAGTTTTTAAAAATAGAAAACAGTTTTTGGGAATAGAACCAAAATAGGCACTTATATATTTATGATACTTGTTTATAATTAAATTAAGATATATGAGTTTTTTATACATTGCTAGTTCTTGTTATTAATGTTATCGATACATTTAAATTTATTTGTTTTGATTTGATTAAAAAAATATATTTAATATATGAGGTCAAGTATCTAAATTTTTTTAAAATATTTATTCCGTTATAAAATGCTGACTTTTTAAGCACTGTTTTTTTTTTTTTTTGGAGGATAAAGAATTGACTGACGTGTTGTTACTTGTTGCATCACTTTACATGCTCGGGTCCTGTGGTTTCATTTGGCATTTTCTGATGTTTTTAATTTTGAGCCAAGAAAGCCTCGCTTATTCATTCACAATCCAAATGCACCAAAAATCCAATCTGAATGTTCAACTGAGTTACTTAAAACTGATTGACTGGATTTTAAACCAAATCGAACTGAATGAAGTATAACCAAATTATGACAGGTCGGTTCATTTAACTAATTCAATCAGTGAACTTTACAACAAACTAGTTGGACCTGTACCTATTCTACTGCTTCCATGGCTAAGCATAAAAGATAAAAACATTGGAACTGGAATTGAACAGGCACTGGATTTTATTTGTTGGCTGCAAAATGAAAATCTCAAGACTTGTTCTCATCAACATCCTTATCTTCTTGTCATTTACTTGTCTCTCCATGACTAAACCTGTCACCAGTGCATTGCTGTTGGCAGGTTCCCGCGTGGTTTTGGGCCGAACAAGACGGGGGCCCATTGCCCACCACTTGACTTCCATCTTATTGTGCCCTTATATAATATAATCTTTTATTTTATGAACTACGTATAAACAACGAAGTAGAAGAAACCCCTAAAGTAAATTTTAAATTTATTTTTTATATAACATTCTCCTTTAACTTTAAAAATGATATAATTTAACCTTTACTGTTAATAAAAATTAATTTTAATTATCAGTTGATTAAAAAATAATCTCAAAAAATATAAAAAAGACAAAAAGGTATGGCCAATGACTCAAAATTTACAGACAATAACCCAAAAATTATTGAAAATGATCAAAAAAATTATTGATCCTTTTCTGTAATTTTAGAATTATTTTCTATCACTTTTATTAATTAATTATTAAAATTAACTTTTATTAATAATAAAAGTTAAATTGTATTGTTTTTAAAAGTTAAAAGGTAATGTTATATTGAAAACGAGCTTGGGGCCAATTTGAGACTCTCTTGGATCTAGTTTAGATGTCAATTTATTCCTTTACCCTAAATAATAAGTTCTAACTTCTAAATCTATTTATCTAATGTAATTTGATCTATCTACTATTTATTAAATTTCATGGAGAGAAAATTAAGTCATTCATTAGCTCTCTTTCAAGATGTGTCCTTTCTCTCATTAATTCCAAAATCAAATTATTCCTCTATTCATTTTTTTCCTCTTAAACTCTTTTTTTAATTGATATTGTCCGATTTTAAACATTAATACAATGCAAGAGTTTAAACTCTAGTTTCATGTAATACTCGAAATGTTCTGCGGAGGGAAAAACTGATCTCTGCAGCACCACACACAAAGAATTACACGGCTGAGTTAGCAAAGCGGGGAAAAGAAAAGGAACAACACAGCCGAGATATAGACACATACTCTCTCTATTTTTATTTTTAAGAAAAAGTAATACTTTTAACTTATTTTTTATATAAATAAAATTATATTTTTCAATAAGTATTTATTACAAGCTTTTTAAATTATCCCTCATAATTTTGTCATGTATGATCATAAAAAATAATTAATGAAGACCTGATTAACACAATTAATGAAGGGTATTGTAGTTTAATTTTTTTATTTACAAATACAATTAATATAGTTAATCAATATTTTTAAACTGTATGATACAATTTTTTTTTCATAAATAAAAATAGAGAGAGTAAATCAATAAAATCACTAGAGACAAGTAGGCTGCCATCATGGTGGGAGCATAAAAACTTGGATGAATGTTATTAGATTTATTATATTAAGTATGTTTAAGAATAATATATTTTATCAAAATAGCTTAAGCTTTTTTAGTTTGATACTTCTTAAACTTGTATGTTTATGATCCATTTTTTAATCTTTAAATATAAAATCTCTTTTATATTTTAATATTCCATCTATTACTTTTTTCTTCGGTTTTTTTATTTTCTTCTTTTTCTTGCTTTTGGTTGTAATTTTTTAATCTCATAAGTCTCAAGTATATTCAATCCCTTTCTTCTTCTTTTTTTTTAATACCTTGCTATTTGTTTTTTTTATCTTTCATTCATTCTTTTTTCCCTCTCTCTCTTTGTTTTTTTTTGTCCTTAATTAAATGGTTCATGATACCATATTATATTTTTTTCTTTTTTAATCTCTTACTATTTGTTTTTTATCTTTCATTCATTCTCTCTCTCTCTTGTTTTTTCATCCCCAATTAAATGGTATATAATATTGTATTATATTTTTTATAACAAATATGTTTAAGGATGACATATTTTATTAAAATAACTTAAACTTTTTTATTAATTATTTTTTAAATTTATATATTTATAATTTATTTTTTAATTTTTAATTGTCGTACTTCTTTTACATTTTAACAGATGTTTGCCTCGTCATTGATGACTTGTTTAATAATATTTCGATAGGGCGGCTCAAAGTCAGATGACTGACAAAAACAAAAATGAGCAGAAAGTCGGGTTTTCCACGTGAGAACATGATTTGGACCACGTGGGCCTCGCTTCATCTACCGAGGCTGGTTCTGGTCGGTTCATTAAAGTTTAACATCATTTGAATCACCTGAAAATATAAATTTTCTGGCTGAAAACTAATTTCTTCAAAATAATAAATAGAAAATTAGAGGATATAATCGCAATAACAAAATGTCCACCGCCTGTTTGGTGTGATAGGAAAGTTAAGAGTGTGAAAATAAAAAGACGTGGCAGAGTGTTTGACGTATGCACAGAATTAAGTTCCCTTCAGGCTTCATGTGCTTTTTCCTTAGACCTTGCTCACATCACTCCATGGTTAGGCTGGTGGAATAACTCCGTGCATTTCAGTATGAAACTACCCTTCGTTTATACTTTATACAAAAATTCCTCATAAGCCCAAATTACTATACTCATACATACATGTACGGATAAAATAATGAGTTAATGTTATCAAGAAAAAAGTAACGAGTAAAAATATACGAAGCCTCTTGAGGTAGCTCACTAGATATATATATATATATATATATATTTGAGAGAGAGGTTGCAATTTAAACATGTG